CTCTTGTGTCTTGTGTTCTTCTAGTTTCACACCCATGTTGACTTCCCAGACATGAAGTCACTCCCATAATCAGTGTCTAGCACTTTTATGATATTTAAAATAGTGAGGAAACTGTCTTAACCAGGCAAATCTCTCACTCTAATTTTCCTATCATTTCAGGCTAGTTCTTCTGAAATGAAACCATGTCTTTTACACAAGGGTCATAATCTCACAGGAAATGATATCCAGACATGGACAGGACCACAGAACCATCTGTGTCCACAGAACCATATGATAGCAATCTGTAAATACTGCTTATTTCTTGCTTCCATCCAAAGTCCTAAGAGCACAACCTGCTTTCTTCAGTGTTCTGAAGTAGTGCTCGGTCACCTACTAGTTTCTCCAGCAAAGACCAGAGGCAAGAGAACTCCTGCACTGAGCCAGTACTGGAAGACCTGCTGCTGTTCCTGAGAGGAAGGCTTGGGACGTAGTGCACCCAGGTGTTCTGGTGAGGGCAATGAGAGGGTGGGACAAATTCTGCTTCCATATTCCTTCAACCAGCGCACAGAACCGGCAATAGACACATGAGCCAGTCAGTAAGGAAATGATGAAATCATTTCATTATTGTCATTTCTTTTTTTACCTGAGTGATTTTTTTTCTGATCTGATGTCTCCTATGACCTGATGGAGTTGTTTCTTTAGTTCAATTGCTATCATTTCAGAAATTTCAGATGTATGACTTCCAGGTTTTTCTGTGTTCATGTCTCCTACACTTGTTCTGGGTGGGGTAGAGGTCTGAGACTGCATTTTACTCCTTTGTTTTGTCTTTTGTGAAGACCTAGAGGTTCCTTGGAGCTCAGCTTCACTCCCACTATCATATGGGAGTGGCAGGGAGAGGGTCCGAAGATCCCCAGTGCTCAGCATGGCTCCCGTGCTGGTGTGTAGTGGCAAGGTGGGGTCTCAGATACGCATGAAATTTGTTGCATTCAGTTGGCTCTCGGGCCAGTGAGGGAGTAATGGGGGAGGCTCACTGCAGTTCTTGAAGCTCTCTGGGCTTCAGCCTGACTTCCACATGCATGGGGGAGATGCAAGTCATGGTCACTGAGGGTTCAGATGTTGCCCAGGACCCAGCCTGGTTCCCACACTGGCAGGGGAAGGGTGAAGGTAGAGTACCAAGGCTGCTGACTCTGTCTGGGTTTCAGCTGGGCTCCCACAGGGATGTGGGTTGCCACTGAGGCCCAAGAAAGTGACCAGGGCCCCACCTGCCTCACACACTAGTGGGGGAGGCACGAGGGCAGCTCACCAGGGTTCCTAAAGATGTCTGGGGTTTAGCCCACTTCTCATGGGGATCTGGGGGTGCAAGGAGGGGCCACTGAGGTCCCAGAAGGTACCCAGGGCCTAGAGCTCTGCCTGCCTTGCCCGCTGGTCAGAGAGATGTGGAGGCAGCTCACCAGGGTTCCTGAAGATAAAAGATTTTTTATTTTATACAATTCATAGATGTTTATAGCATGTTTCTGAGTTTAGTAGAATAGAAGGAAAACAAGAGATAATTTAAAATAAATGTAAATAAGAGCAACTGTTGGACCATGTTTTAAAGTCCTAAATGCATTTCACATACCTGACATCAAACTAAGATCCACAATGTTAAGTTCACAGCATCCACATACACGATCTTGGCTCCCTTTGGTACCCACTGCTCCTCCCCTTCACTGCTTCCAGGCCTTGGCTTTCATTAGGAGGGTGTGGTTTGACCTCCCTCTAGAGTAAGTGGTGTGAGGGCAGGGACTGTGTGAATCCTCACACACATTGGGAACCTGCACAGTGCTGTGCAGTCAGTGCATCTGATCACACACACACACACACGCACACGCGCGCACACACACACACACACACACACACACACACAGAGTGGGTTATCTTTCTGATGCATAGATTTTGCTTCCATTTTGCATGGATCTCATTGAACCCATCTGAGGGAATAAGTCCATGTTGCTGTGTTCTGTGGAGCGTTTGCCTGGAGCTCTCCATGTAAAAAGTAGTTTATTATAATGCTTTCCTATAATCCCAGAACCCTAGGAGGCTGAGGCAGAGCATCACAAGTTCCAGACTGGCCTGACAACTTAGCAAGACTGTGCTATAAAAACAAAAAGAAAAAAGGCACCATGCAAAAAGGTATTGGGCTTCAATCCCAGAATCATAAGAAAGATGAAAGAAAGAAATGGAAAGAAAGAAAGAAAGAAAGAAAGAAAGAAAGAAAGAAAGAAAGAAAGAAAGAAGGAAGAAAGAAAAAAAAATTAATTCACACCTGAAATTTATATTCTTGGAATACAAATATTTAGAAAAATAACTGAAACAACTAAATATATGTACTAAATTGTGAATAAATTTGACCTGCAGCCATGTTTTAAAATGATAGTTAGATTCTATGTCCGACGAACTAGGTGAACAGGAAAGGGAGGAAATATAGGTTCCTCATACCAAGCATTCAAAAGAAAACTGCAGGCAATGTTTCAACAGCCAAGCATACTGCATGCTTCCTCCATGCTCATGGTTATGGGAAAGGAGCTGTTTCTGAGAAACTAAGAGCGCACCATACTTTCACTTTCAATCTGAGCTGTGTCCAAAAGAAAAATAGCTTGCAGTTGTTCTGAATTGACAGTGGAAATCCTTTACTAATGAATAAAAGTGGAGAAGTTCTCATCTCCTGAAGAACTATTCAGATTTCAAACATAGGGAGAGTGGAGCTGATACTGTCTGCCCCAAGACTACTCTGACACTGTTCCTATGTTAAAATCAACCATTGCTATGTCTTCAAAATAGTGCCAGCCACAGTTTTATAAAGGACACATTATCCAGGAGTTTGTGGCATGTGCAGTGACTGCAAGTTATTCCAGCATAGTCCACATTCATCTTCTCCCTCCTCTGCCATCCATTCTAGGTTTCCTCCACTTGTCCTAGCCAAAATCAGGCACCTCATTGCATCCACTAAAAACCTAAATGACCCATGACAACAAATTGATCTGTATGCCTAAATCACTCCTTCAGCAAGACTACCTGCTCCCACCCAAAATACAGTGTAAAAGAAACTTAAGTATTCAACAAGTTCAAGTGCAGAAAGGTCAGCTGTTCTCTGATAAGAAAGGGACTGAGCACCCCACAGTACAATCACTCACCTGGCAATGTCCACTAGAGAGTGTACACACCCCTCATCTCCACGCTTCAGTCTCCACCTTGTTACTTGACAGGGTCACACTGCTGCCTCCAATGCTGTTCCATAGCATGTTGGATCACCCACAACTTAGTTTAGTTTGTTGAATAAAGAGACACAAATGATCTTCAGGTGGAAAACATTATCTCAGAGTTTCCTATAATAACTTTAGCTCTGCATAACCATCACTTGATAAGTAATTGTCTTATATCTTGGAAAATTTAAATGATAGAGTACTATTTGCAATCTACTTTATTTACTTAATAATTCAGTTTGCACATGTTACTGATTTGATTAACTTGTTTTAATCAACTTCCAAATCTTATTCTCAGTACAAGAGTTTGAACCCAGAATCCTCTCAGTCAGCTAGATCCCTGCCTTTTTATTACTTTTTGCTTTGAACAAGTTTTTTGCTAGATCACTAAGTTGACCAGGATGGGCTCAAACTTGTGATTTTCCTGCCTTAGCCTCACAGCATGCAGGAATTACAAGTATCCACCACCATGCCCACATCATATGAAAAAATTTTTTCATAAGTAAAATAATCACCTACAGATAGCATCTCTTAAAGGTTACAGCATGTTTGAATATCACCACATTGAGTTCAAGGCACATAGAAAATGTACTTTTGGGGGACCCACGGAGTCACATCTAAACCATTGTACCTTTGCCCTGACTTCTTTTCTTAAATTTTTTATTTTATTGGTACATTTTTAATTTACATAATGATAAAATTCATCATAGGGAGTTGTAACTATATGTGATACGTCTTGCTTCTTCCTTTTTTCCCAATCCCCTCCCCTCCCTTAAACCCTTTTTCCCTTCATTATTTACAAAACCTTTGTTTCCATTTTTCTTTTCTATTCTTATTTTTTTCTGGTCCTCTCTTTTCTTTTTCCCCCCTCTGTTGTTCCTCTTTTCATTTAAACATTTTCCTCCCATGTCCCAATGTCCATTATGCATTATGGCCCCTGTTTGAGTTTCTCATACCAGAGAAATCATGTGATATTTGAACACGTGAGTAAGATTTATTTCACTTAGGAGTATCATCTCAAGGTGCACCATTGCACTACAAATGTGTCAAGCTTATCTTCCTTCCCCTGACTTCTTGTTACCATTGAAAAATAGAGACAGTATGTTTTTTTTTAAAAATGTCAGGACTGATTTTACACAAGACATAGGAAATTTTTAAAGTCATTTTTAAAGTCAGGACTGATTTTACACAAGACATAGGAAATTTTACAAATTAATTAACAAGAAAAAGCAATTATGATTAGAATTATTTGGTCAGCACACAGAGAAGTAACACAGGAAGGCAGTTCAAGGTTTGGGATCAAGGCTGCTTGGATTCAGATTACTTATCTTGATTTGAAATTCAGCCTGTCTCTGCTTCTGATTTTAAATTCAGCCTGTCTCTGCTTCAATTTCTGTCTCTTTCTTCAATTTCGTTATGAGATTTAAGATTTAAGATGTGCAGTGAGCATGGCCCCCAGAGCACCTGTACAATGAAGGGAGCCCCTCCTGACTGTAGTGAGCATCGGAATCGAGTGCTGTGTGATCACGAGAGTACTACATGCCTGTTCGCTTACTGTGATCCTCAGTAACCAATTCCACTGAGAGAATCTTGTTATTCTTTTGAAATTATACTTTAAAATTTTATGATGTCTCTCCACTCCAGTATAAGTTTTCTTAAACCTTCCCTCTGGCACAGCTACAAAAATTCTTTTTATAGTTGTTGACCTTTTGTCTGGAACTAAGTACTTTCAGTTTCACATTCCTCTAAATCCATGACAAAGCTTTCTGTCTTTCATTATTTGTCTACTCAGGAAAATACAGAAGCCTGTCAACATCGAGGGTGACTTAAAAGCCCAAGAATACAGCCAGAGGCAGAGCAGAGAGAAGCCAAACGACCTACACAGAGATCAGGTAAGACGCTACCTTCCCTTTCTGCAGCCTCTCCAGCTCTGAAGGAGCTCTGCTCAGGGACTCACAGCTTCTAAATCGGATGCAGCAATAGGAAGGGGCTTATAAGTGTTGTTTTTCCTAAAAAGTATCAGCACTGTGAAAGGTTGGAGCTGAGCCTCAGATAGGATAGGGATCAAATGAAATCCAGATTTCATCAGGGCGCCAGGTCCCCTAGTGCCACTACCGGGCTTGTGTTAAGAGCACTGGCAGACAGAGGAACGATTTGAGCTTCTCTTTGTTGACTTCGCACGGACTGGGAACACAGACTACTGTGGTCCCGATGGGCGCGCTCAGCACTGCTCCTGCTGCAGCTACAGAGGTAACAAGGGAGCCGCCGGAATATTTGTTTGCAGAAGGAAAGCACAGAAATGAGATGCAGTTGAGCAGCCATGGTCACTGTTAAAGGCAAAGAGAGAAAAATACTCAGAGTGAAAGAGGGAGATAACAACAGCAACCTACTTCCTAACCGTTGCGTCTGAACTTCGTTTCACACTAGATGTCTTCCTTCAGCAGTGGTGCAGAGTTAGTGATTTCTTAGGGTCCACCCACTCCTTACCCCAAGCAGAATTCAGCTGCTGTACTTTACTAAAGGGCTTCCTTTAGAAGAATCTCATATAGTGCAGCACTCAGAGAGGCGTCTGCTTCCAACAGAATCCCCTGACCTCATCCTAATTTTCCTGCCTTCAGGGTGCTCTTCCCCTAACTTCCTTGGCAGACACTAGCCTCATTTCTCATCTCTTGTCTGTGGCCATCTCTCCTTGCCAGCAGCTTACGCCCTGCTTCCTCCACTCTTTTTCTTCCTCCCTCCATATTCCTCCTTCCCCTCCTCTAATAAAAGAAAACAAACAAAAAAGCAAGCAGAAGACCTAAAAGCACGTTGCTGAAAACATATCTTAGAACAACCCCTTTCTAGTCCTCTTCATCTGTTTCCTGATTTCATAATCCTTATTTCATAGAAATTTAGTATTTGTGATTGTGAGTTCACACCTTGTTATGTTCAGGCTCACTCACTGTGAAGTTCAGATAGCCCAGGTTAGGCACCGCCCTTGCCCGTGCCCCTCCACGTCCTTGAAAGGGTCCTTACTTATATGTGCCCATGGTAAGTTATTCTCATAATATTCCCAAAAGTAACATGTTGCTTTCCCTTCTGGGAAGGCAGTGTGAGAAATTCTGTGCATTCACGTTCCAGTGAAATGAGCATAGCCACTAGATGAGGAAAGAAGGAACTCATTTTAAAATCCCTGGAAATGGTCCAAAAGGCTTACATCAGGCCATCAACCATCTATTCAGTAAGGGCTTTATTCATTGTAAGAATTAATGAACTGATAAATATTTATTACATATATCCAGAGTGGAAAAGAAATTCTCTAAATCCTATTGTGTTTTCCATTTATAGTCTCTGTAAATTTTTTTATCTGAATTCAAAAAGAAAACTTTCTGCAATAAAATAAATGGAAGATTTGGGTTGTGGGAGCAGGTGAATGTTGATTTTTAAGAAATCATGACTTTTTTTAAGTGAAATGCTCTGATAATATTTTTATAACTTCGTCAGATGTTAGGAAATTTCCCTCATGTGTTTTGTTGATGCACACGGTGCTTGTTTCTTCATGCTGGGGAATTTTATGAACCTAATTTTTAGTATAAAGACTGGAGATACTGATTCTTCCACCCCTGCTCTTGCAGACCAGAACACACGCTAGACATGGCCTCCGAGACCCACATGCCAGCCCCAGTGTGCCTCATTGAGAACGTGAAAGGGCAGCTGAAGGTGAATCAGGAAGCTCTGAGGATCCTGTCTGCAATCACCCAGCCCGTCGTGGTGGTGGCTATTGTGGGCCTCTACCGCACAGGCAAATCCTACCTGATGAACAAGCTGGCTGGGAAGAAAAAGGGTGAGTGCTGCCAGCAGGGCTCTGCTGGGTCCCCTGCCCACTGCACCGCCAGCATGTTGAATGGTGGGTGTGGAGGAGAAAAAGAATCCCGGGAGGAATATTGCCAGCTATTCTGCCACTTAATGAGCTTCTCATTTTCACTTCACTCTGCTCTATGGGATGAGAGTCAGCTCACCAGCTCTCCCTACTATGCCTTAGCTTCCCCTTGGGAAGCATAAATTGATCCTTTCCTAAAAAGAAGGAGAGCAGTAATATGAATAATTAATTTACATGGTAGTAAATTCTAAGACTCTTATTAAGACAGTCATACAGTAAGAGCCAGTTTCCACTGACTTTTGAAGTTAAAATTATTTCATTTGTATCTCACTTTTTCTATTGCTTAAAATTTACATAATATACAATTTACCCTTTAAACAGTTTCAGTTGATCAGGTTCTGGCACTAAGTAAGTTCACATATTTGTGTAGTCACCACTTCCATCTCTTTCCAGAACAACCTCTTCCTCCCCAGGAGGAACTCTGTATCCATTAATCAACAACTCCCAATGTGCCATCCTCCACCACCATTCTAGGTTCTGTCTATGAATTTGACTATTCCACAAACACCATGCAAGTGGGGTCAGACAAGATTTGTCCTTTCATGGCTTTTTTTTTACACTTAGTGCGATGTCTTTAAGTTTTCACAATGTCACATTTGTAAAACTTTCCTTCCTTTTATGGCTCAAGAATTTATGAATATTGTATATCAATTTGTTCTTTCATTTGTGTAGAGATGGAAAGTGGCTTTCTTTCACTTTTTTGCTGTTAGGAATAAAGTTGACATGCACATGGTTGTAAAAATATTGGTTCAAGTCCATGTTTTAAGTGTTCCCGGGTTTATACCTGTGGGTAGTACTGCTGGATCACATAGTAATTTCATTTAATATCTTGAGTAATCACTACCCACTTTTCATATTGCTTGCACCATTTTATATTCCCACCAACAATGCACAAATGTACTAATTTCTTCATACTCTTCAGTTATTTGTTTATTCTATTTGCTTTTGTTCATTTATTTGATTTGATAGTGACCATTTGGATGGGTGTGAAATAGTATCTTGTGATTTTAATTTACATTCCCCTGAATGACCAATCATGTTACACATCTTCTCCTGTGTGTTTCTTGGCCATTTGAATATCATATTTATAAAAATGCCTACTTAAACACTTGGTTCATTTTTTAATCTGGTTGTTTGTGTATCATTGTAGGAACTGGATCTATTCTTGATATCAACCTTTATCAGATATGCATTTGTCAAATATTCTCTCCAGTTCCTTAGTTCCATGTGTTGCTTTTTTATTCTATGAAGGTGAACTTTGATGCAGAAAATTTGCTATTTTGAAGAAATCTAATAAGCTGTCTCGATTTTTATTTGTTGACTCTGCTTTTACTTTTTCCTTTCCAATGTCAGTACTTCTGTTTCCTTTTCTTGTCTGGCTAAGATTTTCAGATCAATGTTGAATACAAACAGGCTGGACAGCTTTATCTTGCTTCTGATCTTAGAGGAAAAGATTTCATTTTTTTGCCCCAACTGTGATGTTGCCTATAAATTTTCATGGATGGCCATTATTATTGTGCTGAGGTAGTTTGCTTCTATTTCAAGTTTCTTGAATATTTTTGCAGTACTGGGGATAGAACCCTGCAAGGACTAAGCCATATTATCCCTACATAATCAGCCTTTTTTGTGTGTGTGGTACTAAAGACTGAACCTAGAATCTCAAGCATGCTTGGAAAGAACTCTGTCACTGAGCTACATATCCAGTCCTTGTTTAACTTTACTTTTGAGGCAGAGTCTCACTAGGTTGACCAAGATGACCTTAAAGTAGTAATTCTCCCGCCTCAGCCTCCTCTGCAGCTGGTCTTAAAGGTTGGTACCAGTATGCTGGCATTGTGAATGTTTTTCTTATCATGAAACTGCTCAACTTTTTTGTTGTATCAGATAAACTGATCTTTACTATTTGTCTCATTGAGAGTACGATCAATGATGGCTGTGGTTTCAGTTCTCTCTCCTAACATTTATTATGCTTTTATCTCAGTTTCACAAACACTTGCTATTAAATCTCCACCCGTTTCATCCCCTCTATGCTTTGCAGGCTTCTCACTGGGCTCCACCGTGCAATCTCACACGAAAGGAATCTGGATGTGGTGTGTGCCTCATCCCAAGGACTCGAAGCGTTCTCTAGTTCTGCTTGACACCGAGGGCCTGGGAGATGTTGAGAAAGTAAGGATGAGGATTCAATTTTGGATGAGCTCCTTGTCTTTGAATATTCTCTACAATAAGCAGTTTTTACTTATTTAAGAGATTCTACTTAAATATAATATGTCTTTTTATTTTTTGCTTACATTGCAGAGACTGTTTAGCAAGCAGAAATCAGAAAAATATTCATAAGACAGAGTCAAAGCAGGAAAGCAACATGTTTAATATGATGTTCTAAGTATCAACAACAATCTATAAACAAAGCAAGTTATCCTGTATGAAAAACTAAAACACAAATATGCTCAGTGTCAAGAGTCTTATCCTACTGCATACTTTAAGGATTTAGGTGTTGAAGCCTCATGAGTTTGTGTTGAAATTAGAACCCTGGTTCTAACTTGGTGCACTGAAGCAAATAACTTGATTCTTTTAGCTTCAGCTTTCTGATGTGTCAAATACATGTAATAGCTTCACATATACCTCCTAGTATTGTTTTGAATATTTCATAAGATAACATATCTTTCTATATAATGATTGCTACAAAAGGGCTACAAGTATTATACACACACTTATTTATTTAAGCAGTCCCAGGGATTGAAAAGTTGGGCACTCTAACACGGACTTATGTCCCTATCCCCATATTTACTTATTTTTTATTTTAAGGAAAGGTCTCACTAAATTGCATAGAGTGGGATTGAACTTACAATTCTGTTTCAGCCTCCCTTGCAGGAGGGATTACAAGCATGCACCACTACATCAGGGTCTACATCTCTTATAAATAAATTTTGCCATTAAAAAAAGAAATTTTCAATTTTCTTTAAGATCTAAGAACCTAGCTTCACTTGCTGTCTGCCTAGCTCTGTCTAGGAGCATGCCAGTGAAATAAGATGGGCTCGCGTGGCTACTGCAGCGCTAGTGTGTCAATTCTTGGTCTGGCACAGAACGCTACAGTTCTGTTGTGCAAAGATATATGACTGATTGGCATGTCCATTTAATATAAGAAAGTGGAAACTTTCCCCAACACTGCAACCAATAGTGAATTTGGTAAATATCCTGCAGAAGTTATGGAAGAGAATCAAGCATTTAAAAGACCTAGAAACAATGATGATATCGTTGAGTTACAAATTCCGCTTCAGGGCAAGAATGCTGGGGCAACAATTGGAAAAGTAGACAACAATATTAAGGCATTCCATACAGACTATAATGTCAGTGTTTCAGTCCCAGACAGCAGAGGCCTTGAGCGCACATTATCAGTGCTAATATTGAGACAACTGTATAGATTCTGAAGAAAATCATCCTTACCCTGGAAGAGGGCCTGAAGTTACCTTCGCCCACTGCAACCAGCCAGCTCCTGCTTGATTCTGATGCTGTGGAATACTTACATTACCAACACTACAAAGGCAGTGACTTTGACTGCGAGTGGAGACTGTTAATTCATTATTGTATGGCAGGGGGAGTTTTGGGGGTCAAAGGTGCTAAAGTCAAAGAACTTCAAGAGAACACCAGACAAAAATCAGGTTTTTCTAAGAATGCTGTCCTCATTCCACTAGCAGTTGTCCTTATTGGAAGAAAGCCTGATAGGGTTATAGAGTGCATAAAGATTGTCCTTGACCTTATAGCTGAGTCTCCCATCAAAAAACATGTGCAACCTGATGATCCCAATTTTTACAAAAATGAGACTTACGATTATGGTGGTTTTACCATGAGGTTTAATGACTGCCATGGGCAGTCTGTAGGATTTCCCATTTGGGGAAGAGGTGATTTTGACAGAATGCCTCCTGGTCAGACTGGGCATCCCATGCCTCCCTCTAGAAAAGATTATGATGACATGAGCCCTCAACAGAGACCATCACCCTGTCCTCCTGGTCAAGGTGGCCAGGATGTTAGCAGGACTCAGAAGCTTTCTCTTTCACTACCACCACCACTAAGAGGTAGAGATTTAAGGGCCTATTATAGAAGAGGAAGACCCAGACACCACTATGATGGCATGGTTTGTTTCAGTGCTGATGAAACTTGGGACTCTGTAATAGATGTATGTAGCCCATCAGAATGGCAGATGGCACATGGACCACAGGGTGGCTCTGGATATGATTATTCCTATGCAGAGGTCGTGGCTCATATGGTGATCTTGGTAGACCTCTTATTTTCACACAAGTAACTATTCTCAAAGATTTGACTGGATTTATTATTGGCAAAGGTGGTCAGTAGATTAAGCAAATCTATCATGAATCAGGAATGTCTATGAAAATTGATAAACCTCTAGAAGAATCCAAAGATCAGATCATTACCGGAACAGGAACACAAGACCAGACACAGAACGCCCCGTATTGGCTGCAGAACAGTGTGCAGCTGTCTGCAGATGCTGACGGATTCTAATGCAAGCTGTATTTTCTTTCTTATACTGTGAATCAGTAGTCTGGAAAGTTTTGCTAAGACTGGTGGAGAACCGGAAGGAGTTCTCTATCATCTTAAAAAATTTGTTTCCATGTAAAAAGCCAGCATTCCCCTAGTTCATGGGTGTTCTGCATTTGAGATGTAGTGAAATCTTTGCTGTTCACCAGATGTAATGTTTCTGCTCCTTACAAATGGGAGGGGGTGTGCAAAGGCTATTGTTGAGATTTTAAAACAGCAGCAGAGTGGATTGTACTGTTTGTTCATTGTTAGTGGTTTAAAAAATTTCTCCCCATTTAATTATTGTGAACATATTGCTTTGTATGGTCTTTGTAAACTTTTGTGGGGTGGGACAGGCAGAAAGTAACAATAGTCCACAGGGCATCCTTTCAGAGCAGTGTGCAGAATATAGTGCTCTTTTTTAAGAGGGACATTATGATTTTTAAAATAAATTTAATGAATTTAAAAAGTGACCTAAGAATCCTGACTGATTTTCAGTTATCAGCCAATAATCATAAGAGGGCCTAAAGAAAATTGGTGTAAATCAAATATTAATCAAAAAATATTCAAAGTTCCAGTCTTATAGACTACACTTATATTTGAATGTAGGTTTCCATGTAATTACTCTAAAAACTTTAAGGTGATAATTTTGCCATTGCTGATCTGCAAATTGACACAAGAATTAAACACACTTATGGCCCAAATGTATTCTGACTTCCAGGGTGACAATCAGAACGACTCCTGGATCTTCGCCCTGGCCATACTTCTGAGCAGCACCTTTGTGTATAACAGCATGGGAACCATCAACCAGCAGGCCATGGACCAACTGCAGTATCCTTGTGTAGTCCAGGACAGACCTGTGCGAGTGAACTGCCACATGGCTCTAGACCCTGGTACAGCCAACCCAAAAAGAGAAAACATAAGCAATAATTCAAGTCAGGAAACATTCATGTACTACTAAGAAATGGCAGTTAGGCTAAGAACAGCGATAGAAATTTGTGGATTTGTCAAACTAGTATGGGATATTGGGCCCTGTTACTTTGCCAGTTTTCCTTAGCTAGCACCTCAGCTATGTGACTGAACTGACAGACCGAATCAGAGCAAAGTCCGCACCCGACACAAGTGAAGTTCAAGACTCAGCTGACTTCGTGAGCTTCTTCCCAGACTTTGTGTGGGCACTGAGAGATTTCTCCCTACAATTAGAAATAGATGGAAATTCTGTCTGTCCAGACAGCTACCTGGAGAATTCCCTGAAGCTACAACAAGGTAATATGGAGAGATAATTGGTAAATGGGAACATCTAAATACTACAGATTATCAATCTATACTTTTCTAATTCCTTTTTTTACATTTAGAGCTTTCTACTACTTCTACCTACCTACACCTGGAAATTAATGTTTAATATCTGAATTAATAGATTCAATTTTAAAATACTTTCTCCCCAGTTCAGAGACAAGTTTCTGTCTTTCACCTTTGCTATGCTTAATTTAAACTTCTCTTGGTGCTTGTCATTTGTGATTCTGCATTTATCCAAAGAATATGTAGTGTAATGAATGTATATTTGGGGCTGGGGATTTAGCTCAGTGGCAAAGCGCTTGCCTGGCAAGCGCAAGGTCCTGAGTTCGGTTCCCGGTACCGGAGAAAAACAAAAAAACAACAACAACAACAAAAAAGAATGTATATTTGAAGAAAATAGATTAAAGCAGTGTCGTAGCCCAAGTGTAATAATTGAAGTTTTGGAAAAGTATGGTCCACACACAAGTGCTAGCTAATGAGATCCTGCCTCCTGTCTTGAAATAGATATTATAGGAAAAATGTTGCGCCCATTCATGTACATATTGTCTATGGATGCTGGCATGCCACAGTCAGTGAGTTGAGTGCACAGAAAAGAGGCTCTCTGGTCTGAAAAGTTGAAAATATGTACTATTTACAAAAAATGTTTACAAATTCCTACAGTTGGCAAATCCCTTTTTTACTTCTTACAGGAACTAGTGAGAAAGTTAAAAATTATAATCTCCCCCGACTCTGCATCCGCAAGTTCTTCCCAAAGAAGAAATGCTTTATCTTCGATAGACCTGCTCAGCGAAAGAAGCTGGCCCAGCTCGAGACACTGCATGATGATGAGCTGGATTCTGAATTTGTGGGGCAAGTTGCAGAATTCTGTTCTTACATCTTCAGCTCTGCCAAGACTAAAACTCTTCCAGGAGGCATCCAAGTCAATGGGCCCCGTGAGTATCTTTCCCACTAGTTTAACACATTCATAAGACCGAGGAGCAAGAAAAAAAAATGAATCCAGTTTCAGTTTCAAGTTTGCAATTGTACCACTCTTCCATGTAATTTTAGATGGCCTCAACCTTTCTAATAAATTTTTTTAATCACATATCTTGATGGGAAAAATGAGAAAAAGCTTAAAGAAAAAAAAAGATTATTGCTTTAAAATTCCTTAAGTAAACTAGATTTGCAAACTAATATGGTAGCCATTAAAAATATGGTTATTAGGGCTGGGGATTTAGCTCAGTGGCAAAAGCGCCTGCCTGGCAAGCGCAAGGTCGTGAGTTCAGTTCCTGGTACTGGAGAAAAACAACAACAACAAAAAAAATATGGTTATTTAAATTTAAAGGTAAATTAAGTTAATAAAAAATTAAAACATCTCATGGCTATATTTCAAGGGCACATATTCTCGTAAATTTCTTGAATAATGCTATTTATTTTATTTTATTTTATTTTATTTTATTTTTTGGTTTTTCTCTGGTACCAGGAACCGAACTCACGACCTTGCACTTGCCAGGCAGGCACTTTGCCTCTGAGCTAAATCCCCAGCCCATGCTATTCATTTTAATAAACCAAATGGTAACAGCTTTTGATTGGGATGATATTTCTTGTTCTATAAGTAGTGATTAAATGCTTACTGTTATTAGCGAGGATGATACAGATATAAAGGAAAGAAATAGAATTCTGGTCCTAATGGTACGTAGAGTTAAAATGGATGAAAAATTCGAATAAACAGTCCTGTGCAGTATATATCCAGGAATCTCAAACTTTACTGTACATACACATAACCTGGAGGTCCTCCTGAAGAGAAAGGTCAAATTCAATACGTCTGGGTAGAAGCTGAGGTGCTATATTTCTAGCACATTACCAAGTGCTCAGTTAATTACACCAATGACACATTGAGCCAAATAGGAGGTAACTGACATGCTCAGAATTACATACAATGGAGAATTTTTCCACTCTACCTATAATATGCATCATCACCTGCTCTCTCTATGCAGGTCTAGAGAGCCTGGTGCTTACCTACGTCAGTGCCATTAGCAGTGGGGATCTGCCCTGCATGGAGAACGCAGTCCTGGCCTTGGCCCAGATAGAGAACTCAGCTGCAGTGCAGAAGGCCTTGGCCCACTATGACCAGCACATGGGCCAGAAGGTACAGCTGCCCACAGACACCCTCCAGGAGCTGCTGGACCTGCACAGGGCCTGTGAGAGGGAGGCCATCAAGATCTTCATCAAGCATTCTTTCAAAGATGTTGACCAAGTATTTCAAAAGGAATTGGCGGTAGGTAAATTTATCTCAAGAGTTTATTGATTTGGAGAAGACAAAGTCCTATAAGGAAATAAAATAAGTATTTATTTTGAGAAAGGAAGTAATTCCTAGATTTTTAAATGGTGTCAGCTACCTGTGGATAATCATAATATTAAGAGGTAATCATAATATTAAGAAGTAACAATTTTATTATTCTGGACTCAAAGTTTCAAAACATTTTTCTTTCATAATTGACTAATAATCTTCCTGTTATTATAACTAAATGCATAAAATTTATAATCAGAACTTCTAATCAAGTTATGTGTATGCTGTTATATTAATATTGAAGAAAAAAGCAAAAAAAAAATATTCTAAGTTATCTAATGAAGGCTTATTTTGAGGTACATTTAGTCCATGGGCAATCATTGGTCTAACGCCAGGCATGGTGTTGCATACCTGTAATTCAAGCACTCAGGAGGCTGAGGCAGGAGAATCTTCTTGAGTTCAAGACAAGCTGGGGCAACAAAGTGAGCTCAAGTCTAGCCTGAAGTGTATATCAAGACCCTGTCTCAAAAAGACAAAAAGAAAAAAATCACTGATCTAATCTGAAAAATTAGAGTTTATTTCTAAAGTATGGTATAATGCTAACAATCTCTGCTCAGAAATTGAACTTTAGTAAAGTTCAAGTTTACAAAGAAATTTAGTAAAAAGTTAGGATTGTAATCTTTTTGACAATGTTCGCAGAAACTCTGACCACAAGATATAATCTCTCTCTGGCTATTCTTTTTATTTCTTATTTTTGCACTAAAGGCCCAGCTAGAAAAAAAGCGAGATCACTTTTGTGAACAGAACGTGAAAGCATCTTCAGATCGCTGTTCAGCATTACTTCAGGATATTTTCAGTCCCCTAGAAGAAGAGGTGAAACAAGGAATGTATTCTAAACCAGGGGGCTACCATCTCCTTATTCAGAAGGTGCAAAACCTGAAGAAAAAGTACCAAGAAGAACCCAGGAAGGGGATACAGGTAAACAACCTTTATCTGTGTTGTTGTGCTGGTTTCCATCATCAGAGTGACCAACCTTAACTACTCAGTGATGTGCCTTACTGTCTGCACTGCACTCACACTTTCATTAGTAACACCCATGAGACGCCTTTTGTACTAGATCTGGCCTAGGTACTCTTCAGAGAGTGCATACCCAAGTAACAGCTGAGTTGTCATCTTTTTCACTGCCTGTTACACTCCTGACCCACATTTCCTTAGCTTTCTTCCTCCTTCCACTTCTTCCTCCAATCTGTGGTCTCCATGAAGGCTTCATTCTTTAGCAAACTCAGCCTGTACAGAGCACAGCACCATTAACTCTAAATGTAGCTCCTTCAGTCTAAAACAACACAAGCCTCTTTTCCCACAATCTTGCTATAAAGGACATTGCTTCCTGGAGCATGTGCAGGCGGTCTTACTGGAAAGCCTGGAGTATGTGCCCATTCTTGTTAAGAAAGAATCTTGGCACCAGGATCCCCCAGGACTAGGAGGAATAGTTCCTTGAGCAAAAGTTGGTGGGCAAAAGACAGAAATGAATGCTTACAGTCACTGCTACTGTTAACCCTGTGTTCTTTGGTTTGGAAGGCTGCTGAGGTTCTGCAGAAATACATGCAGTCCAAGGAGGATATGACTAATGCCATTCTGCAGACAGACCAGACTCTGACAGAGAAAGAAAAGGAAATCGAAGGTGAGGAGTAAGTCAAGAGGATGCATGACCTCAAAAGCTCTTAAAAGTTTAAATAATTTAAGGACATGTGGTATTCTTAGACTGGAACAAGAAAAGCAAAGATGTATCTTATTTTCCAATGCACTCAGCAACAAGAACAGGTAAACATGCAAAGAGAAAGGACGCAAGGCCTCATAGTAACCCACCAGCCTTTCTCTCATTCCTTTCAGTGGAACGTGTGAAAGCTGAATCTGCAGAAGAGGCTGCGAAAAGGTTGGAGGAAATGCAGAAGAAGACTCAGGAGATGCTGGAGCAGAAAGAGAAGAGTTATCAAGAGCATATCAAACAGCTGACTGCAAAGATGGAGGAGGAGAGGGCCCAGCTAATAAAAGAGCAAGAGCAGACTCTAGCTCTTAAACTCCAGGTATCTGCTGAACCATCTTGAACTTTCTGCTTTTCCTTTCCTGTCTATTCTCCGTGATAACTATCTCAAAACAAAATTTTTTAAAAATAGCCAGAGATACAATACAATGAGAAGGCCCAGTGTTCCACTCCTAGTAATGGGGAAACAACTAGTTAGGCAAGTTTCATTAACAAAATAGCTTAGAAATTTTATTCTTACTTAGATTAAAGTTTACTTAGAGTTCATAGTTCAGGTTATGAGCCTGTAAGTGACAAGCTCATAAAATACAGAATTATGACATACAATAGTCACAATTTACAAGGAAAATGTAAGAGGAAAGCAAATACTGCTTGTATGTTAGATGTGAATTAAGAAATGTAACCATTTTTAGTTTCACAAATTTTTCCCCAGAATATAAAATGGAATCATATTGTCTATGAAATAAGTTTAATTCTAAAAGAAATTAGAATTTCTTAAATTAAATGTATGTAGGCAAATTCTTAGTCTTTTATTGTACAAGCCAATGTGAATTACCATTTGGACAAAATGCACATCCCTTTGCATGTTCTCTTTTTTTGCTTTTTTGGTTGGGTTGAGTTGGGTGTTTTGGGGTTTTTTGTTTTTGAACTTGTTTTTGTTTCCTAACATGTTGTGAAAAAGCAAGAAGGACCTCATGTGTCTTAGTTACTTGCTTATTCCTGGGACAAAATGTCCTACACCCACAAGTTAAATGAAGAAAGGTTTATTTCAGTTTCCCAGTTTGTAGAAGTTTCAGTCCATAGTCACTTGGCTCCAAGGCAAGGTGGTGGGTCTACGGGGCATCACAGAGGAGAAACAGCCCATGGCAGTGCAGGTGGGAAGGAGCAAGCATCAGCCTACTTTTCCCTTTTTTGTCCATTCAGGCTACAAGCCTATTGGTTGGTGCCCTTCACATCCAGGTTGGGCCTTCCCATTACCCACATCCAGAACTATCCTAATCAGTGGACTAATCCAATTATCACAACCTTATTTCAGAGTCATATACCCATGATCCAACCACCTCCTAAATACCACACCTATGAACACATGAGGCTTTTGGGGACATCTAGATATAAGCCATAACAGCAAGTTAAGAATTATCTGAAGAGTTCTATATTCTTTTCTAAAATTCAATCCTCCTGGACTGTAATCATGCATAATACCAAGTATCAGAGTTTAGTAATTAAACTGCATTTTTCTTTAATCTTTGGATAGTGATAACACCTTTAGAATTTCTTAGATATACACACTAGACCTCCAAAACTTTTGAATACAGACTGTGAGAGTTAGTGTCTATTTACCAAGAAAGGAAATACATGTCATTCATCATGTTGACTTAGACTTTAAGAAGTTGGCACTGCTTGCTACTGAACTGCAAGCCAGTGGCAACTGCCATAGAGGCTAAAAAAGTCTCTCAGGCATAATTTCAAAGACACTTACCTGTAGCCCAGTTTGAGATGTTACTGCAATATGGAACAGAGTAAAGGGCAAAACTTTACTAATTGATTTCTCAACAAAGTTTGGTCATTGCTTTTAAAAGTATTTTTGACTCATAAAGAAAAATTTAATAAATTAGATTTCATCACAAGTAACAAATTGTGCTCTGCAAAAGATACCAGTAAGAATAAAAAAGATATACCACAGACTGAAATAAAATATTTTCAGATCACATGTCTAACAAAGGACTTACATGAAGGAAATGCAGAGACTCTGAGGATTCCCCAGTAAGAAAACAAATAAAATCCCAACTGAGAAATGGATTGAAGGACTGAGAAGACATTTCACCAAAGGAAATAGATGGGTGTCAGATAAGTGCATGGAAATATGATCAGCATCATCAGCCATTAGTAAAACGCAAAATAAAATCCTGCTGAGAAAGAGAGACCTGACTACTAGAGTGGGGATGGAGTTGTTAACATTGTCCCCCTCCAGCTACAGGACCTCCACCCTCAGTCTGCGATTCTTTGTTCCCATGCCGACTGTTTAGGGACACCTCCAGGGACCTCTCTGATAGTGTTGCTGTGCCTTTCCAACCAACATCACAATCCTTGGTCCTTTATCTGCCCCTGCCACCTTAGCGTATGCCTCTTTAGATCAGTATAGTCAGTCTCCACTTGCTGGGAACTGAACTACAGGATGAGGTCCCACATGTCAGCTATTTCTTGGTGACTACAATGCAGTGAGCACCCCGTGAATCTTTGTCTCATATTCCATCCCTCCACAGTGAACCTTTCGACCCATGGATCAGCCTGAGTGTCCCATCACTGTTTGGCAACCACTTACCCTGCTTACCTCATTTCTTCTCGTACCTGGCTAGCATGGCCATCTTTACGCAGGCAATTTTTATTCTTTACTTACCTTCCACTTCTAGGTTTTAAACACTCCCTGAAGATAATCTTTCTTGTTTTCTCTTCTTTACACCACCCCCTGAGTCTGGTTACCCTGGGATTCCTTTCTGGTCTTCCCATGGTCTTACCCTCTGAATCAGGGCTTTGTCAACTACTAGCAGAAAATATGCACACCCAGGGAACCCCTGGCTTCCTATGTGGGTATTACTGCATTTGGGTGGTCTCCTTGAATGCTTCCAGTAGATGCCAAGCACAATATGTCTTGAGATAGCCTCCCGTTATTTATTGGAGAACTCTCTGTTTTTCTTATGTAGGCACTCATAGCTAACAACTTCTTTCTTAGATCTGCTCTCTTTGTATCCCACAGATTCTGTTATGTGAAATTTATATTATCATTCGACAAGGACTTTTTAAATTTGTTTTCCTGATTTTTTCTATAGCCCAATGATTATTCAAATGTGTATTATTTGATCGGCATGTGATTTCTTTTGATGTTTTCTAGTTTCATTCCATTGTCATCTGATAAGATACAGAAGATTATTGCAGTTCTCTTGTATTAACTGAGACATGCTTTCAGGCTTAAAATGTAGTTAATATTGGAAAAAATTCTGTGGACTGCTGAGATTAATGCGTACTCTGCTATCGTTGGATGAGACTCTCTGTAGCTATCTGTAAATCTGCTTGTTCTATGATGTAGATAGACACTGATAGTTCTTTATTAAATTTTTGTCTTATTTACTTCTCTATTTATGAGGGACTGGTATTGAAATCCCCCACAGTATTTGTTGTGGTATCTGTCTGCCCCTTCTTGTCAAGGAGTTTTTGTTCTACTGAATTAGATGCACCAATATTCGGTGTATTCCTATTTACAATTATTATATCTTCCTGGTGAATTGTTCCATTTACCAATATGCAGTGACCTTTGTCTTTTCTGACCAGTTGTGATTTGTCAGAAGTTATTCATACTCAATTTGTCTTTTTTAGGAACAAGCCAATCTACTAAGAGAAGGATTCCAAAATGAGAGCAGACAACTTCAGTCAGAAATAAAGCAACTGAAGGAGAACATGAAGAAAAATGGTAAATGTGTCATTCTCTAAAGACCTAAGGAAACAGGCATTCCTGACACCGTTATCTGTTCAAGGCATAGATAAAGCAACTTTAGATTTTGGAACAAAGGCCATTTCAGTGAATGCTACTTAAGTCTTATAACCACAAAAACCTGCAAAGACATGAAGTAAAATACTTGAAGTCAACTTCATCTTTCTTAAATGATTGTAAATTTTGTACCAAGTATAGATTTTACTGCTGCACAATTTTGCAAAATATTAGGTTTGAGTGTGGTAATCTTATACATGTATTTATCTTATCTTGATTATACCAAGACCTGCATAACCCTCCTTTACAACTCCCTCTTCTTCCCACTGGTTCCATTCATTTTCTTAGAACAGTCCCTATAAGTGCCACGTTGTTTTTCACAAATGTGCAGCTCTTTCCTGCTGCACAGTTGCTTGTCCCTGTTCTATGACTGAGCCTTTAACGTGCTTTGGTACATCATGAGTAGAAGAGATGTATGTATATCCAAAAAGATTTTTAAGGGCTTTTTCTCTTATACTGCACAGGATTCCAAGTAGAAACTGATGTGGATAGTTCTTCAAACTCCTGATTTTTAATTGTTTGTGGTAAATATAAAGAAGTAGGGTAGGTGAATCATATGGTACTTCTCTTTAAAACTTTTAAAAGAACCTTCATACTTTTTTTTCCAGAGAAGCAACATAATTTTATATTCTCAACAATGGTGCACAAATGTTCCAGCTTTCCCACATCCTCACAAACACTTGCATTTTTAGATTTTTTTAGTAATTGTTACCCAAACAAATGAGGTGATATATCATTGTTATAATTTGCATTTCCTTGATGGTAATGAATAAAGTTAAGTATCTTTTGATACACTTCTTTGACTCTTCTGCCTTCTTTAAAGAAATATCTATTCATGTCTAAGTTTTTAATCATACTGTTTGTGCTTTTTGGTATTGAGTTGTAAGAGTTCATTATGTGTTTGAATATTAACCCCCTGTTAAGAGTGTGTGTGATTATTGTCTCTTGTTTAGTTGACTGTCTATTCACTCTGGTGACTGCTTACTTTGATGTGTTGACATTTTCAGATTCCACGTAGTCCTTTTTGCTTCTTTGTGCTTTCATTTACATCATGTCTGAGATACCACAGCAAACATTAATGTCATTGCACTAGTGTATTTCTGTGGCTGATAAAACTATAGCACAGAGTTATAAAGAAAAGTTTACCTAGCTTATGGCTGTGAAGGTTCAAGTATTCACACCTGGTGGTGAGTTTATTGTTGGAAGATTCCAAGGTGGCACAGGGCACCACATGACCACAGACAGGGAGTGTGCATGTATGTGTGTTTCTCTCTCCTTTTTCTTTTGAGCCACTGGGGTTTAATCACTGAGGCTCCACTCTTGTGATCTGCATTAAAAATAATGAAAAGCCCCCATCTCTAAACACTGTAGTCCTTCTGAAAAGACATTCTAAACTCTGTAGTCAGATGATCTCCAAACTCTGTAGTCAGATGATGTTTCCATGCTCTCAATAGCTTACAATAGGGGTGAAATCTCAACATATGAATCACTGAAAGCCACTTAAACTATATCCAATCGGGGCTGGCGATTTAGCTCAGCAGCGCAGCACTTGCCTGGTAAGCGCAAGGTTGTGAGTTTGATTCCCAGTACCAGAAAAAAAAAAAAAAAAAAACTATATCCAATCAAAATAGCAGTCACAAAGCTATTCTTTAGTTTATCTAGCAATTTTACAGGCTTAGGTCTAAGGTTTAAATCTTATATCCATTTTTAATTCATTTTCTGTATGCTATACTATGTGTCTAATTTCATTCAGTTGAGTGAAAATATCCACATTACTAATAACCGTAGTGAAGAAATTGTCCTTTTCTCACTATACAGTCTTGGAATGTTTGTCAGATCACCCTAATTCTATGTGTGACAGTTTGATTCTGAGCTTTCTCTTCTGAGCCATTGGTCTTTATGTCTATCTGTAGGTCAATAGCATATTGTTTAGATTACTGTAGTTTTAAAATATGTTTCTAAATCAACAAGTGTGATATTAAGTTTTTTGTTTCCTGAAGATGACTTAGCTAATCAGGTTGTTTGACTATAATCAAAGGATTATATATAGACTATATAGTTGAAGCATTTTAGGATCTTTTTTCTACTTCATAAGGTAATACTCTCCCTAACTCACTTTCCAAGACTGAAATTGAACACACAAACTGATTAAAATTTTATATTGTCATTCACGATGGAATAACTGAACCTACTTTTTAGAAAGGTAAATAGCAACAATTTTTTTCTGGTACTGGGAATTAAACTGGGGCCCTAGCAGTCTAGGCAAGGGCTTTATCACTGAGCCACATCCCCAGCACTTTTCTAAATATTGGCTCTCCAGAGAAGGCTTTGTCTTAGTTCAAGACAGTTCTAACTTTCCTGGACCCACAAACTCCATATTATTTGTATCACTTATTTAAGCCTTTGCCATCCACTTGGCAGGAAATCTGAAGTCTGGCCGAGTTCCTGATTAGCAGTCGCAGATTTCATCTTCATATAGTTGGTATACAAAAAGCAGTCAGTGCTGATGAGGATGTGCAGAAAAAAACACACTGTTGCAAGGAATGAAGATTAGAGTGCCTACTTTAAAAACCAGAATCTAGGCACCTCAAAGCCTAAATACACTACTATCGTAGCACCCAACTGTAACACTTTCTGGTATGTATATGAAGGAATTAAAATTAGCATACCATACATATGCCTACATACCCAATTTTATTGCATCATAACTCAAAATAGCCAAGTTTCCATCAACAATGAATAAAGAAAATGTGATGTGTGTACTGAATGGAGTATTATTCACACATAAATAAGAATGTAATCATGTTATTTGCAGAAAATGGAGGGCACTGGAGATCACCATGTTAAGTCTCAGAAATAAGACAGTCTCAGAAAGTCTCACCTGGTTTCCCTAATATGTTGAATCTTTAAAATGATGTGACAGTTGAAGTAACACCATTAGACAAGATTAGGTTAATCAGAGAGAAGGGATGGGGAATTTAATCAACAAGAACAGGGGTTGGATATGATCAAAATGTGGCATTCCTCTATGAAAATGTCACAAAGAAGAGAAATATTTTCTAATACAAATATAGACTAGTAATACAATGGAAAAAGAATACTTATAACAACCTACTTCATAATAACCAAGAAAGTAAACAATACTCAAGTGTACACCAAAAGGTAAGTGGATAAACTATAGCATAATCATATAATGTAATAATATATGGAAAAAAGACTAAATGATTAACAGCTGCACAGAAAAATATGAAGGACTTAGAGTGTTTGACTCTTCTGTCAGAAGGTTATAAAACTCATGACCCCCTAGTTCCAGGCATCCTTGGTCTCCCACTCACTCCCTTTACTATAGTAGATTAGCACCTGGCTGTCCCTCTCCTTACCACTGTAGTATTCTTGCTGTCTACCTTTGAAGCATCTAACATGCAGCAGAGATAGATCTAGTACTCCTTCCTCCATTTCCATTACCTACTTCTGCTCTGAAGTCTATCATCTTACCTCAGCCTGAAACCTTTCCTTACTAGTGATTACACCAGCTTCATAACCTCAACATCCAGATCCTACACAGTCAGTCCCTTCCTGACATGTTTCACGTTGCCATAGCAAATGGTCAGTTTGCCATCCTCACATTAGTACGTTTTGGCAATATTTTCTAGTGATGGCCATCACTTTTACCTCCAATCATTTCTATTTCTAGCTACTTATATATTGTACACTTTTGATTTTTCCATCTCACTTCAGTCTCGTTTTCTGAAATCTCTCTACATCTTCATTTCTAATACTATAGCTTCTGAATTTTTGACATTTTCTTACTTGAAAGCATTGCTTTGGCTGTAGTAAATCTATATAATGTTCATATTTACAACTTGTGACATTTAAGATTGTCAAATTCATTGGCTTGGGAGTTGTCTAGGGAATTGGTGGAACACACGCCTTATGTATTATGGTCGTGGAGTTGTGACTTTAAGAACTATATCCAGACCCTTCCCTCTTACTCCCAGATTATGTTCCTGCACTTTATTTCTTCACTCTCATGAATTAAGTAATTTGGTTTTATGGTTCATACATTGTGTCAATTTGGAGAGTGCAGAGGTTTGGCTAAGTGACTCAGCACTTCTGCATCTTGGGATGAAAAGGACATGCCCTCCCCCTTCCGAGATGTTGTTCATTGTGCCAATTTGAGAAGTTTTGAGGGTTAACTATGTGATTTAGCAGGGAGCCAGGGTGCTTACTTTGTATTCATCGTGAGCCTGTGCAAGAGCAGGGCATGAAGATTATGTGAGTGCTACACACCCCCTCGGTGGGGGTAGCCTGCTTACAATGGAAAGGAGAGGAAGAGGCTGCTCTCCGCCACTCCTCCCTTTTGCTCTTATTGCCTTTGCTATCTTCAGCTGTCATGAACGCTTGCCCTCTGCCATGCCACTCTGCCTTGGAGCCAACTGAGTATGAACTGAAACTTCCACAAACTGTGAGCTAAATCAACCTTTCCTTCCTTAATTTTGAGCTTTGGGTATTTTGTCTCAGCAACAAGAGAAAAGTAACCAAGACATTTGGCTTCACCACACCCTTCTGCCAAGATATTTTGATTTGGAGCCCACTGATCATGGTTAGATCCTCTGAAATTATGAGCCAAATAAATCATTTCCTCCTTAGAGTTGTGTTTGTCAGACATTTTGGCCACAGGAAAAAAAACTGACCAATACACAGCTCTAACTTCACTGCCTGTTTGACCTCCCCACCTTAGGATGGAATAAATATCTCAAGCTTCACATATATAAACTGAAACTCTGATTTATTCTTTCCCCCTATAGCTGAGACCCCTGCAGTTTCACCTACATCCCTATGTAAAGTTTCTGTACCATGTGTGTGATTCATAGCTCCCCCATTACCCTCAAATATCTTCAAGCAGCAAGTGCTCTCCACTCCAAGTCTGACATACATGTACAGTCCCATTAAACTCACCATACTAGTTTCCTCACATGTTTTTACCCTTCTGGAATTCCCACTAAGATCCCATTTTGCCAGCTTTGCTCACTTTTACCCTTCTAAACTATCCCAGCCCTAGTGACTCATTTTTTAAATTAAATCTTTAGAAGGAAAAAGTAACTAAATTATAACCTTGCACTAAATGATTTTCAAGATGTAAAAATGTCCTTGCACC